ATATTTATTCACCCAAACCATATTTGGTATCAATGTTATACCTAACAATGCTTCCTCACACTTGTAAGGTGACAACATAGGGAGGACTAGAACACCCCCATTCTGTCAGGGTACCAGGCAAGCAGAAATGTTTGGAGATAGGCCTCAGATATCCCCCCCCCCCCCCCCCCCCCAATGTTACACAGGGCTTTTTCAACAAACCTTGAATTGCACTTAGCAGCCTACTGGCACAGCTTGCACAGCCGCAGTGATCCATGGACATAGCAAGAACATGCCCATTACTGCTCATGTCACTGCATTTTGTAACAGTGATAGTTTCTGGATGTGTTCAAGGTCAGTCCCATGTACAGTGCCTTGCAGTAATTCAATCATGAGGTGACCAGTACATGAATAACTGAAGGGCCTCCATGTCAATAGGTGCACAAGATGAGCGTGCTGGCCACAGTTGTCACTTGTTCTTTGAACAGTAAGCACAAGTTCAGAAGGACTCCCCAGTTGCATAGTCGTGAATAGGGAAGTGCTACACCATCCACGACCAACAATGGAAATATATCTGAACCTGGGGTTGGGGTGAGGGGCAAACACCACCCAGTCTTCTCAAGACCGACTTGTAGTCTATTCCTGTGAAACAGCTACCAAATGCTGCATTTTTCAGAGCCCTTCAAAAGAAAAAGTTTGTGAATATAATAACAGTCCATTCAATTAATGTACTACTTATCAATTCTGCACTGCACATTAGCCTAATTGTGATGTAATTCTGCATTATAATTGTGTACTAACAGCCCAAGCTTAGGGTTCCTGTTTTCTCCTTTCTTTGTATGGACGATAAGACCCAAATAATTTTCATCTTAAAACATTGCAGTGAAAAAATATTTCAGATACAGGTGAAACTCGAAAAATTAGAATATCATGCAAAAGTTCAATGCGGCGTGGCATGGAAGCTATCAGCCTGTGGCACTGCTGAGGTGGTATGGAAGACCAGGCTGCTTCAATAGCGGCCTTCAGCTGTTCTGCATTGTTTGGTCTCATGTCTTTCATCTTTCTCTTGGCAATGCCCCATAGATTCTCTATGGGGTTCAGGTCAGGCGAGTTTGCTGGCCAATCAAGCACAGTAATCCCACGGTCATTGAACCAGGTTTTGGTGCTTTTGTCAGTGTGCGCAGGTGCCAAGTCCTGCTGGAAAATGAAGTCAGCATCCCCATTCAGCTTGTCTGCGGAAGGAAGCATGAAGTGCTCCAAAATCTCCTGGTAGACGGACTGTGTTGACTCTGGACTTAATGAAGCACAGTGGACCAACACCAGCAGATGACATGGCTCCCCAAATCAACACAGACGGTGGAAACTTCACACTGGACTTCAAGCATCTTGCAGTGTGTGCCTCTCCATTCTTCCTCCAGACTCTGGGTCCTTGGTTTCCAAATGAGATGAAAAAGTTGCTCTCATCCGAAAACAGGACTTTGGACCATTGAGCAACAGACCAGGTCTGTTTTTCTTTAGCCCAGGTAAGACGCTTCTGACATTTGTTGTTCAGGAGTGGCTTGACAAGAGGAATACGACATTTGAAGCTCATGTCCAGGATCCATCTGTGTGTGGTGGCTCTTGATGCACTGACTCCAGCCTCAGTCCACTCCTTGTGAAAGTCCCCAACACTTTTGAATGGCCTTTTCCTGACAATCCTCTCCAGGCTGTGGTCATCCCTGCTGCTTGTGCACCTTTTTCTTCCACACTTTCCCCTTCCACGTGACTTTCTATTAATGTACTTTGATACAGCACTTTGGGAACATCCAACTTCTTTTGCAATTACCTTTTGAAGCTTTCCCTCCTTATGGAGGGTGTCAATGATGGTTTTCTGCACAACTCTCAGGTCAGCAGTCTTTCCCATGATTGTGATTCCTACTGAACCAGACTGAGAGACCATTTAAAGGCTCAGGAACCCTTTGCAGGTGTTATGGCTTAATTAGCTGATTAGAATGGGACACTTTGAGCCTAGAGTATTGAACCTTTTCACAATATTCTAATTTTCTGAGATTGTGGATTTGGGGTTTTCATGAGCTGTAAGCCATAATCATCTCAATTATGACAAATCACGGCTTGAACTATCTTGCTTTGCATGTAATGAGTCCATCTCATATATTAGTTTTACCTTTTCAGTTGAATTACTGAAATAAATGAACTTTTGCACGATATTCTAATTTTTCGAGTTTCACCTGTACTTCCTGTGCAATGTAGATTTTATTTATTGACCCTTAATATGTAGGTGATGGTTAATTAAGGTCAGAATTCAAGTTGGCTGCCAAAAGTCATAACTCGGTAATATTTTGGCACTTTGTAGCAGGTGTTCTAAAGGAATGGAGATTTTCATTTGATATACCAATCTGTACTGAGGTCTGGGAGAATTATTATCAGTATTTGTTTGCTTCCATGGAACTTGTAGAGAAACTGTCCTTAAGCAATGATTCAGTAAACCCTAGAACTCCTCCCCCTTGGCCAGGAGAAAAGACATACAATCCATTATTAAAAGCTTAAATAGCAATAAAGCCCCAGGTGAAGATTTCTTACCAGCAGAATTATTTAAGAAATTTCCCAATTGATGGGGTCCAATATTGGCAGGTCTTTTTACACACATAAATAACACCTGCCATATACCAGATGGGTGGAAGATGTCAATAGTTGTCCCATATATATATAAAAGAAAATAAAAACGATCCTAGTAACTACAGGCCCATCAGACTGATTGACATTGTAGCAAAAATATATGCTAGGTTCCTTTTAAATCAGGGGTCTTCAAACTTGACAGAATTCCTCCTCCAGTCCTGTTAGCTCGGGAATTCTGGTAGTTGAAGTCCACGTCTCAAACTTGCCAAGTTTGGAGACCCTTGTTTAAATAGAACTGAAATCTGGGTAGAGTAAAACCATGTCCTTGCAGAAGAATAAGCAGGTTTTAGACAAAGCCGATCCGCTGTTGACAACTGCTTTACCATCTAATTGCCAAATATGCCTTTAAGATCCCTTTTTGCTGCTTTGATAGACCTCACAGCAGCATTTGATATGATAAACAGAGAAGTACTATGGAGAAAACTGACATCTCTTAAAATAGAACCTAGACTGCTGGCTTTGATTAAAGCCCTTTACACAAGTACCTGTTTGAGGGTGCTGACTAAAAGGATTCACCCAAATAAAGGGGTAAGGCAAGGGTGTATCCTGGGCCTATTATTATTTAATTTATATATCAATGATTTGCCAGGGTTAATGAAGGTACATATGCCGATGATCCTAAATACATACTGTAACAGCTTACTCTATGCTGGTGATATGATTTTATTATTGTATTCACAAGTAGGATTGCATAGGCTATTAAGAAGATTCAACTCTTATTGCCAACTCCCTAGGTCAACTCCCTAACCATTAGTAACTCTAAATAAAAAATCATGGTTTTTGGAAAACAGCATCAGAAACATAGATGGCAATTAGATGATGAACCAATTGAAGAGGTTAACACATTTGTATATTTAGGCAGACTGGGTCTTGGGCTTGCCATCATCAACCGAGTACACTTAGAGGAAAAGCTTGTTTGAATTTTTATGTACTTGCCAGGCTGATGGTAAATCAGAACTCCTGTTGACTGACAAGGGGCCATTTCCCAGGTTTCAATCACTTCCCTGGCTGTTTTTTTACTTGCTTGCCCAACACTCTTAGTACTGCAAAATTGAATGTATGTCCTTGCTCATTGCAATGTGAACTACAAATGAGTTCAGATCTCCTTATCTGACCTTGTTGCAATGAATGTTGCAATACATTCAATTTTGCAGCTAATGAGCCATGGTGGCGCAGTGGTTAGAATGCAGTACTGCAAGCTATTTCTGCTAACTTTTGGCAGTTCAATTCTCACCGGCTCAAGGTTGACTCAGCCTTCCACCCTTCTGAGGTCAGTAAAATGAGGACCCAGATTGTTGGGGGCAATAGGCTGACTCTGTAAACCACTTAGAAAGGGCTGTAATGCACTGTGAAGCGATATATGTCTACTCAATTTGTTGGACAAGCAGGCACAAAAACATCTGGGGAAAGAATTGACGCCTGGGAAGCAGGCCTCTCATTAGTCAACAGAAGTTCTGATTTACCACCAGCTTATCAAGTTCTTAGGAGGTGAGGGCTTGGTAGCATAAGTGAACAATAGCCAACAACAATAGCCAGCCATCAACACCCCAATCAACATCTAAAAAGCCACACACAACAGGCATCATATAAATACCACACACAGAATAGCCCAAAACACACACGCTGCTAGAGAGATGTTCTCTGAGGATGAGCTCCAGCAGGAGTTCAAAAGCTCAAAAGGTCTAAACCTCTGGTATCCGTGACCCAGCCAGGCTGGATCCTGCAACATTATTCTGGGACACGTATATTCGCCTTCATTTGTGTTATATTTTCTTATCCAAAGAAAAACTCTTTTAAAATAATTTTTACCAGAACATTTGTATTGAAAATGTTTAAAAAAGTGTTTTTATTGGGGAATATACATTTGTTTGTTACATTTTTCTATTGGAGGCTGATATTTGAGCAAACAAAAGACTGCAATAGCCCAAAAGGCATAATTCTAAGGCTTTTGGTAAAAAGAAGGAACAACTAAAGAGAGAGGCAACCCCAAATATAAGCAGAGAAAAATAGCCATAATTTTCAGAAGTGATACTTAACAAAACTCAGTTTAGCAGACTTAAATTTAATGGGCATAATCTATTTTAAAGCTCATTTATCATTTTATACAGTGTATGCATGTGTGAAATCAAAGTTCTCTTTTAAGCATGTATAAAAATATTATTAAAGCCCTATTTGCGATTAAACAAAAATTCTGCTTCAATGGACACACGTATGATAGTTATCGGGTCCAAGTTATAGAAATTGGAAAATACAAAATGGTAGCAAAATGCCATTTTCTTATCTTTCTGCAGCCATCTAGCAGTTGTCCCAGATGGCAACTTCTTCTACTAGAGCCATCTAAAATACTGTTTTTAAATAATTTTTGTTAAATATAGAAAGAGCAAAATTTTCTATGTCTATATAAACAATGTGTTGTCTAGGTATAGTAGAGCAATAATCATCCTCATAATATTATTTTGATGTTCGTTAAACTTCCCATTTCAGAAAGGCTCTGAACTGATCCTTGGGATAGGAGTGGAGTGATTATTTATCAGTTCTGAGTTATGGTTTCAGGCTTCGTTCAGCAATGGTCTCAATCAGGCTCTACTGCTGAATAAGGTGCATATAATCCATTTCAAGGGCACTCAGAACTTTCATTTCATTCTGGCAGCCTTTGAATGTGAATTGGGGATATTTGGCTTTCCAACTGTTGCTATACTTCAGCTCTCAAAGGCTCCGCCTAATGAGGACGAATGCTAAGATGTCTGGAGCAGGGCGAGGCAGTTTCTGGACTACAGCTATGTGGGACTTATTCCTAATGTTAAACGACACTGCCTAGTTTTGCTGGGAATTGAAATTTTAAGACCCCCATGAGGCACTGAGTTGCCTGTCCCTGATCTGGCACTGCTCCATCTTCCCTTTCCCAGGTTAACAATTTCGTGATTAAAATGAAACCTGGCACAGAGACAGATGTTTTGTATCTATCCAAGAATCAGGTGGTTGCAAGAATCCAAGCTAACGTTTTCCATGCTAAATAGGTCTATTTCTGTTGGTAGACATTTATTGGCCGTTTTCGTCATATCATGGACTCTTCCCAGAATACTTTCAATGAGGACACATCTGCATTGGTGGCCCGGCTGGATGAGTTGGAGCGGGCCTTATTCCAGACTGGTCAGAAGGGACTCCAAGACTTCCAATGCTGGGAAATGGGTCAGGCCTCCCAAATCACAATATCTAGCCTCATCCAGAATTACAAAAAGAGAAAATTCACTGACGTGGACAGCTAAGATCACAAAGAGGCCTTGTAGGAAACGTGGATTTTGTGGATACTTGGGTTCAAGCACTGAGAAGAACCAATGTTCACTTATCCAATTAAAATTATTTCCAGTAGTAATTTGAGATAGGATGCCAAATAATGTTCTGACTCTGAATGAATAGATACAGCAGCAGCAACAAATTGCTTTGGGGAATAACATTTCAATGTTTCTATTTAGATTTTTGTTGTAATAATTTAAAGAAGGACTTTAGAAATGCATGGAATAATTAGCTATTGTCCAGCAAGTTTTCTGTAGCAGTAATTGAAACGTAAGCATATAGCTATCTTTTTTTAGTCCCAGTTTCCTGTTACTTGCCAGTCAAGTGGCCTTTCTGAGGACCATCAGAACAGATCCAAGGAGTGTAGCCTGTGTCTTCGCACTCACAAAGGTGATTAGAAATGCGGCCTTCTTAGAAGAAAGTCTCTGAGCTGCAGTTCTGTGACTACATCCAGGGCCTGAGGGCAAACAGTTCTCTCTGTTAAAAAGCTGCCTCTTGGGGTTTCATAGTCAATCCCATCATCATTAAAATTATATGTTGTCAGACTCCCAGCCACTTTGGGCAGTTGACCCTTGTTAAAAATACTTAAAAGTCAGAACAAAACTCACAAAAACACAGCATCAAACAAAATGATGATGGTAAAGACAATAAACCCAGAGGGGAGCAGCAAAGAAAGGGAGGTTGATTGTCTTTGCCAAAGGACTCTTCAAAATAGCAGCAGTGGGAGCCATTCAAATTCTGAAGGACTTCATTCCAGAGGACGGGTTGCCACAGGAAAAGTGCATACCAGAAAATGGCATTGGAACCTGGAGTGTGCCAATCCTGTTAGAACAAACCAATCGGGTAGATACTGTGGGAAACTGGTGGTTGGTTCCTCAAGAGAGGCCAAAACCGCGTATAGAACCATGGAACATGGGCTTGAGATAGAATGTTTATAAGCTTGTGTCTGAGCCAAGGAGTGCCTGTTAATCCTGTCTGACAGATAATAGATCACATAATAGACCATGTGAAAAGTGTGCGGAACATTTTCTTTTAAATAATTTTATTAAATATGAAAAACACCAAGTCAATTGTTTCTTTGAGTATATTATTTATCAACCCACTCCAAAACTGCGAGTTACAGAATAACAGGCGGAAGAGACCTTGGAGGACTTCTAGTCCAACCTCCTGCTCAAGCAACTGGGTCGGGGGCATGGCCAGCCAGAAGTCACTATCGGTTCAGCAACCCACAAACAGATGCAAACCGGCTGAATACCACCAATGCTGTGCATGTTACAATGCAAGACAAAAACAAATATAAAGACTCTGAAGTCTCTACGCAATAACACATACATAAAAATTATATATAACAACTGCTCTTGGTGATATTAAAATTTTGGAGACTTGAATGGGCATGTTTAGATGAGTATAAGACTGTTGGTAGCTGAGAATTAAAATGGCCAATAGAAAATGTTAGAAACATGATATTGAATTATTTTTTAGCTTATGATGAAAACATGAGAGAAGTTAACATATCCACACAATTCACATAATTACTGTGTTTCTCCAACAATACGACCTCCCCCAATAGGAAGACCCAGCATGTTTTCTAGGCATAAAATGAAATTAAGCCCATCCCCCCAAATTTAGGCCTATTTTAAAAAAATGCAAAATGGGGGGAAGGGACTTGCCGTTAGGAGCGCCCCGCGGGCAGCAATTCCTCGCCACCAGCTAATGGGCGATCATGGCAGAGCGCGGAGAGCTCTCTACTCCTGCCAAGCACTTTTGCGGCAGACCCAAGACCTTCAGCGCCCCCCGCTGTTAATTTCCCTTCTGCCCATGCCACCGCCGCGTTTGGAGCTGCCGCTTCCACGTTTGGAACCCCACCGCTGTTTGGAGCACTGCCGCTGTTTGGAGTTGCCATGTCCGCATTTGGAGCACTGCCGCTGTTTGGAGCACCACCGCCATTTGGAGCGCTGCCACCACTCCAAACACGGCGGCAGCTCCAAATGTGGAAGTGGCAGCTCCAAACATGATGGCGGTGCTCCAAATGGCGGCAGCACTCCAAATGGCAGGGGCACTCCAAACACGGAAGCGGCAGCTCCAAACGTGGCGGCTGTGCTCCAAATGGTGGCGGCACTCCCAACACGGAAGCGGTAGCTCCAAACGTGGCGGAATGGGCAGAAGGGAAAGCAATAGCGGCGGGTGCCAAAGGTCTTGGGTCTGCAGCAAAGGTGTTTGGTGGGAGCAGGGAGCTCTCTGTGCTTCGCCATGATCACCCGTTAGGAGCGGCTGGAGGCGAGGCTGCCCGTGGGGCGCTCTAGATGAGGATGCAAGGGGGGAAATTAAGTCACCCCCAAAAAGACGACCTAGCCGTTTTTTCGGGGCTCAAAAATATATAAGACCCAGCCTTATTTTATGAGAAACACGGTATATAGTGACATAGAATGAATATGTGTGATGCAACAAGAAATAGAAATCAGGCGGGAATTATTGCAAGATATAGCCAAATGGTGCAAAACTAACAAGCAGTTGGAGCAAACTTTATTGCGAAGGTGCTGTTGCTGAAATAAATGGGTTTAAATTGTTTATGCATTTGTTTCTAGGCAAACAAGGCTTGGCTGAAGTAAACATTAAAAACTGCATTGACCAAGAGCCATAAAGAGATATGCGGGGGGGAGTGGTCAGAAAGGCCAATAGGGACTTCTGGTTTGAGCTTCTTCAGCGACAGACCGAAACCTCGTCTCTGTGAGGCTTCGATCCGTGCTCGCCGCTGGAGCGCCCCGAGCCGGCTGGTTTCGGGGCTAAGCCACCCCGTAGAGGTGGTGAAGAAGGGGGAGACTGCCTGCAGGGTTGAGGAGAGCCGCATCTCTCCTCCCCAGCTGGCCATTACTCCCTTTCCCGAAGGCGGTTGTAGCGGTGGTCAGAAATGGCCACCACAAAGAAGAACTCGACCAGAAAAGAATGTGCAGGAGGAAGATAAGAAGAGAAAGTTTTGGTTGACCGGGTCAAACAGCAAAAGCAACAAATAAGGTACCCTGGAATTGAAACTATTAAAAAAAACCCAATAACATTGTTCCCTAAGAAGATTTTTAAGCTGCGAAGGAGAGAGAAAAGGGAAAAGATTTGGGTTTTTTTTCTCCTTTTCCTATACTGCTAAGAGACTTAAGCAAGAAATTGGAAAAAAATCAACTTTGACATTAACAGGCATTTAATACTGAAAATAAAAAGTCAAAGGGATAATAAAGATTTCTGGATAATCAAAAGCTTTTGAAAACAGGAAAGGAGAGAAAAAGAATAAAAGGGCAGGATCTGGAAGGGAGGAGACTGCCTAGAATTAAAAAGAACTTACAACAAAATCTCAACAAGACTTCCAAAAGATAAATTTTAACTGAAATATCGCAACAAAAACCCCAGGAAGAGAAAGTGGAAAAAGAAATAAGAAGAAATAACTTGGGACTATTTGGATTACTTGATTTCTGGATTTTTGGTTATTGTATTTGAATGACTAAAATCAATTGGGTGGTTGTTTAAAGGTGTTTAAAATGGCTCCACTTTTAGAAGAACTGAAAATGGAACTTAAAAAGTACAAAGATGCACAAGAAGGGAGAGGTTCTTTTGGGTTTGTATTTCAGTTCTTAGAAATGGAGATTTGGAATTATGAGAAACAACAAGAAATGCCTGCAGAACAAGAAGATTGCGACAAAGAAGAAGCCATCTTTAATGAACAAGTAATTCTATGTAGGGAAGAAAAAGGAAAGGGGGGGGGGGAAGAGAATGGAAAGTTTAAGATTGGGAAAATCAACTCCCCCCCCCCAAAAAAAAGCCTGGCTTGCTCAGTCCTCCTTGAGGTGCTGTCAACAGAATTAGCCGATTTTAATAAAGCATTTTGCTGAGTACCAATAGAAGGAGAAGTTTGGTAGCTCAGGGTTGAAAGGGGGGCTCCTTGTGGCTCTCTGAGCTTGGTGGGTTTTTTTTGCAAACGTTTCACTACCCAACTAGGTAACATCCTCCGTGCTACAACGTCGTCTAGCGCTTGCCTAGCTTGGGTGATGAAGCGTCTGCAAGAAAAGCACCAAGCTCGGAGAGCGCCATGGAGCCTCCTTTCGCTAAGTGCCCGACAACACCCAACTCTTCCGCTAGTACCGGGGACTCCATGCCCGTCCGCGATGTCCGGCCAAAGGCGTTCCGGGCTTCGGAACGGCGACGCATCTTCGGGCTCGCGGTCCACCGGACCTCTGTCGCCTGGTGTCTCGCCCTCCCGTCGGCCCCGCTTCCCGGGGAACATCGAGAGGGGAGCCGGGCCAGCCTTCCTTCGCCGGCAGAGACCCCGGGCACGGCCCCGGGGCCTCTCCACGGCCTCGCTGGGGGGGGGGGGGGGGGCGAGGCCGAGGAGGGCTGGGCGTGGACTGACTGCCCCCCCGCCCGTTGGGGCGCCCGCGTCACTCCGCCGCCGCCGCGCAGCCTCCCCCAGCGCCTCCCCGCCTCAGCCGCGCGACCTCCCGCCCCGCGCAGCGCCGAGCCCGAGGGAGCCGGTCAGGGAAGCTCCTCCCCGCAGCGGCCGGGAGAGCCGCACAGCCGGAGTCGGAGACGCTCCCGGGCCGGAACGCGCAGCAAGCAGCCCAGCGCCGCTCCGCCAGCCTCGGCCGCAGCCCGTAAGTGGCTTCGCGCTCGCTCACTCGCGCGCTCGCTGCCCCCCGCCGCCCCGCCGCCCGGGAAGGGCCTCCGGGACTCGGGCTCGCCGCTCGGCCGCCCCGCAGGACACGCAAGGCTGCCGGGCGGGCGGCGGCGAAGCTTGGAGCCCCTCCCGAGCCCGCCCGCTTCCCTTCTGGAGCCATGCCCGCCGCCCGCGCCCTGCCCCTCCCCGCCGCTCGCGCGCTTGTTGGCCGGCTTCGCAGAGCCTCCGCCGCCCGCCGTCATGAAGGGCTGGGGACAGAAGCTGGAACTGCTGACAGGTAAGGGCTTCGCGGGCGCGGCGGCGGCGGCTGCCCGGCCGGCTCCACTTGGACCGGGGAGGGCTCCGGTGCGGGTTGACCCTCAGTGCCGCGGTGCGGGGGGGGGGGCTGCGCCCCGTCACCTCTGGCGAAACCCGGCCGGGCCGGCGGCGAGGCAGGGTCGGCTTTTGGCTCGGCTTGCCCGCCCGCCCTCTCCGCTCGGGAGGCTTTGGTGGCGGGGCCGGCGCGGCCTTGTGATCCCGGTCTGAGCGCGGCTCTTGCAGCGCAGGAGCCGCTCCAGCCGCCCCCGTTGCCCCGCCGCAGGCCGGCCGTTGCCAAGGGCAGCGAGCGCCGAGGCGGCAACTGCGGGTGGTATAAAGGCTGGGCTTGGCGGCCGCCGCAGACGCGGGAAGGCGATCTGGCGGCGGGCAGGGCTGGTCCCCGAGGCGACGCCTCCCGTTTCAGAAGCGGGATGGGGGGGGTGGCGGGGAGGCGCCGCTGGGGAACTGCTCCTTTGGCGCACCTGAGGCTTGGCTGGGCAGGCGGTCCGGGGGGGGGGGGGCCGCTGTGCGGTGGTGGGGGCGGGCAGGTACAGGCCGGCGGAACAATTGCTGCCTCCGCGTTCCTCGCCGGGAAGTCTTAGCGGCTGCTTAATGCTAGGATGGAAATGACCCAGCGCCGCAGGATCTGCGTGGAGCCGCTGGCAGGCGGTGGTGACAGGGCTGCTCCCCGAACCCCACCTTGAACATGTCTCCTTTATTTGTTTGCTCCTCCGCGTAAACCCTCCGCTTCCTCGCCTTCGGTGACTCTTGGGAGGGAGAAAAGGGTGCAAACGGAGAAGCTGAAACCCGGTTTTCTCAAGCGGTGGGTGGCTGGAACCTCGCTTGGTGCAAAGATAGGAGCTACGAGGCTGCAGCAGCCGAGTCGCTGGCCTGGAGAGCTTTCCTCTCCTCCAGAGGGATTCCTCTGTACCAGATAGTCTCTCTTTGGGGGGAGCAAAGGAGGAAAGAGAAGCGGGGCGGCAGATCCGCCCTTCAACTGCACAGGGTTAATGCTGATGGACTAGCTTTGGGAGAGAAGAGGAAGCCTGCCTTCCCCAGAACGATGGTCTCCTGCCCCTGGTGTCAGTGGGTGGACACCTCCAGTCAGGCTTTGTCTTGAATAAAGGGACAGGACAGGAGCAGGACTGGGCAGGGATGCAGAGGCTGAACTTGGCTGGGGGCAAAGGGGAGGGTCTGCACTGGGCAGCTGGGCAGAGATCAGCAATGGGGGCTCCTGTCCTGAAGGCCATTTGTGGGTCAGATAGTCTTCTGATTCTAGGCACTTTATAACATATGAGAGAAAATGAATAAAGCTGTAGGATCCACCCCTTAAACCAGTGAATAATAAACACCATGACTGAAAGCTGGAAAGTAACCCACAAGGAACCCTTTCCAAGCCATCAGTTGGGGGAGGGATGTCAAGGGTGTGTAGGTATGTGTGAAGACATAACTAATCTCAGGTGCCAACTTTTCCAGAGGCAGGAGGGCTCTCATCCAAAAAGTCCCAGCCCTCCAGGGCATCTCTCCCTCAAAGCATTTCTCATGCTATGAAAATGAAAGTTGAAGGAGAATTAAAGAACAGAAAGTTGCAAATCACCTTCCATAGATTTATATGAGAGATGAAGCTGCATTCTCCAAAGCACCTGAAGGCAGGACAAGAAGCAACGGATGGAAACTAATCAAGAAGAGAAGCAACCCAAAACTAAGGAGGACTTTCATGACAATTAGAACAATTAACTAGTGGATCAGAAGTTGTGGGTGCTTCATCACTGGAGACTTTTAAGAAGAAGACAGTCATTTGTCTGAAATGGGATGGATTCTTGCTTAAGCAGGAGGTTGAAATAGAAGAACCTTCCAACTTTGTTATTCTGTTGCAGGAAGCCTCATTTCTCAGTCCCTTTGTGGATGAAATTTCATCCCAAGATTACTCATTTTACAGAGAATGGCAGAGGAGCAGTTGCAAAGCAACACAGTTTGATGGGTTAGCCATCACCAGTATGAAGTAAAGTGTGGTTAAATGAAAAATGATGCAGATTAATGATGCAGGTTAAATGAAAGAGATGCCAGCCGCATCCTGTGGCTTTTGGAGACCTGCCTCCCTCTGAAGCTGAGAAATGGCAACTCTGTTGGCCTGCCCAGCAATGCACTTCAGGAACAGGATCTGGCCTTTGGCTTCAGCCCTCTCCTGCCCAGGGGAGGTGTGGGCTGTGCTCTGCCTTTTGTCTCAACCTCAGGTTTTAAGCACTTTCTGACAGAGAGAGCTCTCTCCAGTCAAGGTTTTGCTTATTGTTTCACTCTCTCAAAACAAACTTTGAGAGCAGCAGTTTTTGGAAATTTCTCACTATTCCCCTAAAATTAATTTTGCTGATTACTGAGAATAATGTAATCACACGGTCTTTTTGAGCTCATGTTAACTTCTTGATCAGGTGTATTCAGTGGCAGGTTTGCAGCCCATGAATTTTGAATAAAGCCTGACTGGCCCAGTCAAAGTCGTTTGTTGTTGCCAGCGGTTGCCCTTTCAGCAACTGGAGACAGGAGATGGGAGCTATTTTGGGAGATGCTCCTTTGTTCCTCAGATGTGGCTGGGATCATGTTATGGGGAAGCTTTGCTACATGACCCCTGTTTCAATGCCCACCACATCACTGTACATCACTAGTATATCACCAGGGTACTCCCGTCATCTGGGAGGGTCTGCCTGACCCCAATTTTGCTTCTGCTTGTCATGTCACATTCCCTGGATCTCCGCAAAGTTCTCTGTGGCCCACACGGCCTTTCTCCCTTGAAGGATAGGAAATGACTTTGGTCAACATGACAGCTTGTTCACATTTTGAGACAGAAGCCAATGTGTATGGTAGATTCTTGCGGGCCTCTGAGGTGCAGGCTTTCTGTTCCAAGGCTCCTGCACTCCTATTGAAATGCTATCCCCACTCCAGGGTGTTCTGACCCAAATCTTGTTCCAAGGAAACAAACCTGAAACAGAGGTAACAGCAAAACTGTTTAATGATTCTTTACGAATTCTGTTCCTTCACGGTTAAAAGGCTGTTTCAAACCAATTGTCTCTGATAAGAACAAGCCTTGCCAAGGTTGTACAAGGCTGCCAAGAACACTAGATAAAGTTACTAAGAAATATTTCAAACCCAAAGAGTCTCCAAACACCAACCAAGATACTCCGAACATCCACAAGGCTTGAGTACAAAAACTTTTTTGCTTCCTGCAAAGAACTCCGGTTTCTCAGCTGGCTTTTATCTCTTAAGGGAGATTCAGCCTTACTCCCGAGTTGCCTGTGCTGCTGTAGCTGCTCTTTCGTTCGAGCAGCCCTGCACACATGTGCACTGGGCACGGGCTCCTTGGGGACCTCTTCATCACTGCTGCCAGCCTCCACAATCTCCGAAGGCAGCGCTCCACTCCCTGATGGTCCTGGCCCCATCCCTGCATCACATGCAGGCCCCTCATCTGAGTTCTCGCTCTCCAAGACCTCAGCCGTCCGCATCTGCTGCCAGTGAACCACAACACAGGGTGCTGTGGACCTGCTGAGTGTGATTGTGACTGGAGTGGACTAGTGCTGGCTGAAAGGCGCAGGACAGCAGGATGTGGGAGGCGTGACCCATAGGGATTCTGGAGAACCACAACTCTACTTCCTTTTGCGCTGTTTTCATTTGAATGACTCAGGACTGTGGGTTGGAGAAATTCCCCAACCACTATGGGGCTCAGATGGATATAAAGCAAGCAAAGCCAAATAAATAAATAAAATATATTTTAACAATAGTAATGTCCTGATTGGTTCTGCATTTGGGATATGGGGGAGAAAGGTCCATGTGAAGGTTTGCTCTTTTATCTGGGCCTTCATGGCTACTAAGGGATGCTGGGGGGAGGGGTATTCAAGTTGCAAAATGCAAAATCATCAAGAACAGGAAAAATGAAATGTATTTTTATTTTTCCAATAATAAAGCCACCTTATGGCTGCTTTTCAGAAAAGCTAAAAATACACAGCAGTCAAGCTGATCTAAATGCCTATAGCTTGCAATGCAGAACATAATGAACACCCCCTCACTTGGCTGATAAAACTGTAGTTTACATCGCAGACAAAAGACTTTTTATTAACTAACCAGAAATTGGCTGTAGAGCTTTTATGCTAGTTTTTGTTGCTTAAGGAAGCAGCTCTCCAACCATAAGAACCCCCCCCCCCCCCGTGTTAGAAGGGACAGCAACCTTATTTGTCCAACCTGCCTAGAGAGCTATTCAGTTTGCAGTGACAAGGTGCTGCAATAAATCTTGGCTCTCCAGAAACTCACCTGTGCATTTAGTAACTAACCACAGTGTATTTGATCCTGGTAGATAAGTTGCTTCACTTTACAGACAAGATGTTAGCTAGACAGCCCAGGGCTGAAGCCCTTTTTTTTTTTTTGCCCTTCCTTTTCAATGGACTTTGGCTTCTCTTTTTCTGCCCTTGGGAGTCAGCACATTTTGACATAGACGTAGAGTTCTCTTGCCTGAGCCCTGCTGGTTCTCATCTGACTAGCCTTAACGCTTGTGCAGGCCTCTTGCCAAAGTCAGAGATGACCTGAAGTGTTATCAGTTTGTTCCCTCAGTTGTGATTCCCTCAGGAGAGCTTTGACTGGGATGCCAATTTCTGCCCTTTCTGGACCAGGAGGCCTCATAATTCAACCCCTGGCATTTGCTCTGGGAATGCTTTTGGCATCCGACTGGTTCAAAAAGCAGCCGCCCTTGCGATCCAGGCCACATGAACCAGCCATCTAACACTGTTCCTGGTTGCTGCTTGGCTGCCAGCTACAATTCAAGGTAGACACCATTGTCTCATGGATCACCTCAGAGGCTGCCTGCTGAAGGTCTGGATGATGGGCGTTCTGCCACAACTCCCCTGCAGAAGGACCCTCACCCCTGGCTCTTCCACTGAGCTTTTAGGGATGAGGTTGATGTGGTGGAGGAGAGGATAGAGATGGCTGGAGAGCACCAATTTGGTGTCTTGTTAAAAGCATGCTAGAAACAGAAGGCTGCCTTAGATACAAAGCCAGCTGGGTACCAGTCATTCTCAGCCCCAAGAAGGAGGCAATGGCCCTGGCAAATCACTTCCAAAAGCCTTGCCAGAAAATATACAGGCACTTGTCCAAGGGTTCGCCAGGAGTCAACACTGACTCAACGCAACACACCCAAAGGATGGTCAGAAGGTGTCAGACCAGAGGTGGTCTTCAGCAGGTTCTGACCAGTTCTGGAGAACCAGTAGCAGAAATTTTGAGTAGTTTGGAAAACCGGCAAATCCCACCTCTGACTGGAGATGTTACAGTCTCCTTCCCTTGCCACGCCCACTAAACCACACCCACAAAACCAGTAGTAAAAAAAATGGAATCCCACCACTGTGTCAGACTGATTGTGAATTGGACGTGGCTTATAGTTGGGGGTTCTCTTTCTTTTTAAACTTCCCTGTAGTGATGAATTGGAGTATAGTTAGCCTCTTAGAGTCTCTGGATTTGTTTTTCATATGACTGAAATGTTTATAGAGTTCAAATCCTATCCTCTTCACTGATACCAAATTTGCTTCAACTATGAATGTGCAAGCCCGTTGGCAGTGCAGCAGAGACCACCATCTTGTCTAGTTACTTTGTGTTGCCCCCCAAAGCTCTTTTTGTGGCCTCTCTGTGAGTGCAATCCATTACTGGAGAGAGCAAACATGCCCAGGGGTTTTGTGTGCCTTGTAGAAACAGCCTTCAATTAAAAGAGAATTAAATGTTATGATCCAAACTTCATGTTTCTGTTGAGGCAACCCTTTCCCTCTTGCCCTGTACTCCTCATGGATATTCAGGCCTGCAATCTGCAATGTGTGTCTATCCATCTCATGTATGAATTTCTGCTTTTTTTTCTATAAGCAGAAATTCATTTTTATTCATTTTTCTTTGGTTCTTCCTGACTCATTATACTTGTTGAAAAGGGGATTAACATCCCCTACCACATATAATGAATTATGTTAGAGTTTGCAGCAATCCAACCAGCGCACAAGTAAATAATTCATAAGGATTCATTTATAGAAGAAACTTGTTTATATACAATAATATAAAACTTGATGCATGTATACAATACCCATGCAGCTCTTGCAATGTGGTAGCACGTAGAAGAACAAGAAACAGAAGCAACCAGAACCACCAGAACTACAGAAGCTCTATATTTATACAGACCGGCCACTCCCAGCCTTGCCCAGGCCCTGAGCCATCTGACATGGCTCACAACAGGTGCTGTTTCCTAGCCACCAAGCAGTTCCCATTGGCTAATTCGTTGTTATGTCTATCCCTGCTCATAATTTCTTATATACTGACAAACTATTTATAAAGTCATTTATAGCAATGTCACATAAGATCCCCTTTTCATTTCCCCCCAGCTTGGCAGAAGGATCGATGAGGGCCTTCAGCAGAGTCCCTCCAACAAGAAGCTCCATGCGGCCCTTTTTGGCTTGCTGATTTCAGGCAGCCTTGTCCGAAGCTGTGCTGAAGTCCATGAGTGCCACACTATTCCTGTGCTCTCTTAAGCTCACAGGTGGAGAGCAGAGCACTGAGAAGGACATGGCAAAGCCTATGCTGGAGAAACTCCATGCTGGCTGAGAAATTCTGGTCGTTGAAGTCCACAAGTCTTAAAGTTGCTAAGGCTGGAGACCCTTGCAAGCATTTCCCAAAGCATTCCCAACCTCACAAATCAATCATTTTTTATTCCTCTGGCAATCAATTCCAATATATCAAGAAACAATCTTGGTTTATTCTAATCATGGTGATTTATCCATTGGAGATTTATAGTTGCTAAGACCACCCAGACTCATAATGGCCTTGTTTCACTGAGTCCCAGGTGGGACAGGCAATTCTGACAGCCCACCAGGCCCAAGCAGTCCTCAACTGCTGGCAGCAAATCACAATTTCCACAGGTCCAAAGCAGCAAAAGGGCTGTGGGGTCTTCCAAGCCCTCTTGTATGTTTCCCAGTGATTTTCCCCCAGGGAGATGGCAGAGGCCTGCAAGCAGAGCCTCTCTTCTCTTTCGCTGTTTGTCATTTGGCCAGGGACTCACATCTTTTTGTGGGGGCCGCTCTCTTTCGGCTGAGTGCAGAAAGGTCGGGGGAGAGCAGCCAACATCAGGGGGCTTTTCAGGGCTTTCTGCCCCATCCCCATGGCCCATGCAACCCCAGTTAAGCCAAAGTGCATATGGGCCGCCATTGGGAGAAGGACTTCAAAAGAGCAAACTGCAGCCCTCCCTGCTCACATCTGGCCAGATTTGTAGGGGGCTTTAAATCTTCCCCCACCCCCCAGGTTGCTTATATTACCAGGCACATAGTGCTTTGCATTCTTGACCAGGAGGGCCTGCCATCGTAGCAGGACAGATTTTTCCCTGGCTTTCCAGGATTGGGGAAAACCACTGACTAATGTAGATTTGTTTCATTGCCCAGGACTGTTGCTCCAGGAAGTGACCATGGCTAGCCTACATGAGCAGCGATTTACAGAGGAGAAGCCTCTGCTCCGTGGACAGGATGCTGAGATGGTGAGTCCTTCGCTTCTCTCCTGGAGTTCCAATTGTGCTGAGCTGGAGGCAGGTCCCTCGGCTTGATTAGAGTCTGCCTAGAGCCGGTGATGAGAGCATGGAACGACAAGCCAGGATGCAGGCCTGGCTGCATCCCAAAGGACCTTTGCCATAGCTTTGGATCCTGGCAAGAGCCCCTTGTCTGTTCCAGCAGCATCCAGACCTCAGCTCCCTCCCTGGGGTGTGTGCAAATCATGACACCTGTGGAAGAAGGGGAGGATTGCAATGCTGCTTCCAACATTTTGACCCTCCCCGCCCCAGATGCAGTTAGTTTCCTGGCAGGATGGTGGTGGGAGCGAAGAAAGAGGGAAACAGGCCCTGAGGACAAGAGAAAGAAAATAGTGAATGGAAAGAAACATCCCAAGAAGGGACAGAAAGAGCAGCTGACCTCACAGGCCACAGGCTAGCCTGGGCTCCCAAATCCTGCTTGGCCCTCAAAGCCCCAGGAAAGACTCTTTTTCCCTGGGATCGCTCCCTCAACTTTCCAGTCCAGCATATAATCCTGGCCTTTCCAGGTCGTCAGACATCCACATATTAACCTGGTTGAATTCTGCTTCACTTTTCCTCAGGATCAGCCAAAATTCTATTTGACACCTATGTTTATAATTTGGGTGGGCCCCATGATGGCAAATGACCACTTTATGGAGGTTAGCAGATAAGGCTCTTTGCAGGACACCCGCTTTCCCACCCATAGGTGGGATCTATAGGAATCCGAAGTGCTGCAAGAGCAGGGTTTGATTTTATCTCTTTCCTTCCAGGAGAATTCAGACACTTTCCTGCCTGCAGTGGACACTGATTGGAAGGTAAGGTTGCAGGGGCCCATTTTGTCTGCCTTACCCAGGAAAAGGGAAGTTGCTGCTTTGGCAGGACCAACATTTCAGAAGTTGCAGAAATCCAACAAAAAAGAGTCACTGGGGGTGGGGTGTGTGTCCCATTCTGGGTGAGATCATTTTTTGTATCTGAGAAGGTCGGAGTGCTGCCTAACTCCTGGCAGGTGCATCTCAGGCCACAAACTATTGGCTAGAAATGTACTTTTCATTCAGTGACTGAGGGCTTAAATACCATAGAAATTGCAACTTGCATAGAGTGGTGTGAGAAAACCTGGTGTAAGACTGAGACACTGGCTAAATGTGCCCAAGCTGTCTTTACCGTCAGCAGGGATGGCTGCATATAGCATGGCTAGTAGCTGGTTGATATTTTGTTTGACATTTAAAATGCATAACGCCAAAACCTAACTGACCAAATCTACAATGGCGTTGGAGATCTATGGGCCCAGCTGGTGCTGCCAGTGGCCTTTGCAAAGCTGCAGTAGGTAAAAGGCAAATGGCATGAATGGTGTAAAGTGAAAGGGCAAAGCAGCCGCTGCTATTTTTTCTGTGAAATAAAAGGCTTATTCATGCATCACCCTTGTGTGTTTCCTCCCCATCCTTGAGATGGGAAGAAATGGGGTCAATGCAGAAGCCTCACCGGCTGCCTTTGCAAGGCAAGGGGTGTACTAAACCCTTACAGAAATGGTGTGGGTGGTTCAGGCCATGGCTGGTTTTCCTGTTTCTCAGAGGAAAGCAGGAACTGGTGAAACCCAAGAAGGAGCTGAAAGAAGAATTTAACAGGTTTTCAGATTAATGGAAGGGACCTTGTAGGACATCTAGTCCAACCCCCCCCAAGCAGGAGACCCTACCCCATTTCTGACAGATGGGAGACCAGTGTCTTCTTGAAAGCCTCCAGTGAAGCTCCACACAACTTCTGAAGGCAACTTCTGTTCCACTGATTGACTGTTCTCACTGTCAGAAAATTTATCCTTATTTCAAGGTTAAATCTTTCCTCGTTCAATTTCCATCCATTGTCCTTGCCCGGCCTTTGGGTGCTTTGGAGAATAGCTTGACCCCCTCCTCTCTGTGGCAGCCCCTCAAATATTGGAGCACTACTATCATGTCTCCCCTGGTCCTTCTCTTCACTAGACTAGCCATGCCCAGTTCCTGCAACTGTTCTTCGTATGTTTTAGCCTCCAGTCCCCTAATCATCCTGGTTGCTCTTCTCTGCATTTTTTCTAGAGTCTCAACATCTTTTTTATAGCCTGGTGACCAAAACTGGATGCAGTACCCTAAGTGTGGCCTTAATAAGGCTTTATAGGGTGGTATTAGTACCTCCCTTGATGTTGATTGAATCCCTCTGTTAATACAGCTTAACATTTTCAAGGCAGGATTGAAGACAACCATAAATAAAGAGATGTACAGGAACAGGAAAGTGGAGGTGGAATAAAAAGAAGTGGGGCTTCCTTCCCCTCCTTCCTTTCCTGCTTTTATGTTCTGCTTTTATCAGGCAGCCATGTTGTTTTCTTTGGCAAAGGGGATATCAGCAGAAGGATGAAGTAGCCCATCTTGGTGAAATGAGGACAATGGTGATTTCTTGGGAGTGGGAAAGTCAGTGAAGAAAGGCATCTGACAACATTGGTAGAGGTTGCAGGAGTCCAGCCAGTCTTGTTTGGAACAGTCTTAGCCTGCTCAAGTATATCAACATTGATGGATGTCACCAAGAGTCATGTGTGGCTCAGGAGCCTTGCGTGTCAGTTGCAAGTTTTCCTTGCATAGTTTTCCTTTAGATGTGTACAAGTGACTGACGGTATGAGAGTCCATTCTATACGTTAAAAAGAAAGAGCCCAGACTGATCCAGACTTGGGCCCAGTGCTCTTCATCATCATCTTCATAAATGATCTAGATGAGGGGATCGAAGGGAAACTCATCAAATTTACAGATGACATCAAAATGGGGGATAATTGAGACCACTTCAGAAGAGAGACTCAAAATTCCGAAGGAACATCATAGACTTGCACACCAGCAAGGTACAGTTCAGGAGTTGCACGTAGGTAGGAAAAACCAAATACACAGATATAAAATGCACAGACTAAGCAGAAAGTTGGGACATACACTGTAGAAAAAGGAGCAGAGAAAGTGACTGTATAACATCTGAGAAAAGTAAAAATGAGTGTAGTCAAGCAGGTATCTGGAATTTTTTTAAGGTGGTGAAGTTCTTAGCCTTGGGAAATGTCCATTTAGTTGCACTGAGGAAAGGGAGAGGGTTGATCAGAAGACGGGAGAAAGTCTTGAAGAAAGTGAGAAAGGAGAATGGAAATTAGAAGAAAGAGGAAAGTGAGGGAATAGAGACATCTCATGGTGAAGATTGCAAGATCCAATCTGGGTCGGTCACTGGGACCAGAATTTTAGTCTTCTGAGCTTTTGGACTCTGGAGCCCATCTTTAGGGAACTTTTCTCTAGCAGACACACTTCCCTGTGGATAGGCTCCAGCATAAGTCCAAAAGTTCGGAAGACTAAATCTCTAGTCCTGGTAACTGACCCAGATTTAGATCCTGCAACTCCTGGTTGATGAAGGGGATGTCAATGGAGATTATGGAAGATGGAAAAGGAACAGAAGATGGATTGAGGGAAAGGCTTACATGGCACAGCCCAGAAAACTGACTGGGGATCTCATGTTTTCCCTGCTTTGAAGCTGTAGGGAAGTCCCTGTAATTTTGGAAGTGAGAGAAGCTGCTGAGTGAAGAGATTTGCCTGAGGGAGGGATGGTGGAGTTCCACCTCCAATTTTGAAGGGCAGGATGAAGGAAAGGATGGAAGCCCGGGACTGACAGGAATGAGGACTTTCCTTTTAATTGCTTTTGACAATTTAGGCAACCTTGTTTTTATATGTATGTATGTATGTATGTATGTATGTATGTATGTATGTATGTATGTATGTATGTCTAGGTGTGTTCGGGTCTTTTCCCGTGTAAGATTAAGATACTCTTAATCTTACACGGGAAAAGACCTGAACACACCTTGGCGACGTTTCGGCGAAGTCCCACTCGCCATCCTCAGGCTGGTGCTTTTGGCTTTGTGCCAGTGCAAGCAGTGTGTGATCGGAGCTGCCGTCTCTCTATAAATACTGGTGGTGGGGGCTGCATGGCTGCGCTGCTGCCTCTTGATTGGTTGATGGAGTTGATGTTGGTATAATGGGCTGTGTGGTGGCCTTGTGAGTTTTGTTGTGGAGATATCCTGGATCTCGTGCTGTAATCTCCTGGGTCGTTTGTTTTGTAGTGATCTTTTTTCCATTTGCCTCTTGTGTTTTAACAGCTTGGGTAATGGGTTGTGTGATGGGCTTGCGAGTTTTTCTGTTGTGGTATTCTGGGTCCTGCGTTGTAATCTCCTGGGTCGTTTATGTTTTGATCTCTTTTCCATGAGCCTCCTGTGTAGTAACGGCTTGGGTAATGGGTTGTGTAATGATCTTGTAAGATTTATTGCTGTGGTATCCTTGGTCTTGTGCTGTGATATCCTGGGTCATTTGCTGTGTTGCAACTTCTTGAGTTCTTGTGGTTTAATTTCCTGAGTTTTCTGATGTGATATCCTGAGCGGGTGGCTGTGATGTAGCATTCTGGGTTTTAGCAAGAGAATAATCAGGGAAGCCATCGAGATAGAGAAACACCCCCATAACATGAATAGACAGGACGATACCTCCCGCCTACCAGACATCTGGAAGCTGGCCCTCACCAACAAACAAGTCCCAACCACGAAAACCAACACCAGACCCAAAACAACACAGGACACCACCGCCAATCCCCTTCATCAGACCCAGGCCCAAGCCCATCCTATAAATGAAGGACAACCACCATCCAGAAAACAGACCATGGCTTCTGCACCAGCTGTCGCACTCCCCGACCCCAAAACCAAACAAGCTGACACACGCCAAGAACACAGACCCAGACCCCAAACTCAAAGCCAGACTAAAACCCAGAAGGCTACATCACAGCCACCCGCTCAGGATATCACATCAGAAAACTCAGGCTAATCTTACATGGGAAAAGACCCAAACACACCTAGACCTACATACCTGTACCTGTGAAAATCTACGAAAACAAATATATATACATTCTAGCAATAGGCTAGCCCCAAATTTAAAACTGAAACAGCTGTGAAAGTCTGACTCACAGACGAACACAATACAGAAGCCTGATGATGGCAGATGAGATTCTGCCGAAACGTTGCTACAACTTTAAAAGCACAACTATAATGACGTGGGAAAATACCCAAACAAAGCTGAATACCATACATGAAAGTACCCACGAAAACTTAAAGGTCCCACTCGCCATCTTCAGGCTGGTGCTTTCGGCTTCGTGCTTGTGTGAGCAAAGCGTGATCGGAGCTGCCATCTCCCTATATATACTGATGGGGAGGTTGGCTGTGTTGTCATTTCTTGATTGGTTGATGGAGTTGATGTTTGCAGATTGGCTGGCTTTTTCTTAAGAACACGTGTGGCTGAGGTATTGGCTGTGTGTCTGTCAGCCTCCTGTGTTGTAACGACCTGGGTAATAGGCTGTGTGATGACTTTCTGACTTTTTGACATCCTGGGTCTTGTGCTGTAATCTCCTGGGTCATTGGCTGTGCTGTAACATCCTGAGGTTTTGTGGTGTAACCTCCTGAGTTCTGTGATGTGATATCCTGAGCGGGTAGCTGTGATGTGATGTTCCGGGTTTTGGTTTGGCTCTGAGTTTGAGGCTTGGCTATGTGTTCATGGTGTGTATCAGTTTGCTTGGTTTGGGGGTCGGGCTGATGATGCAGCCGTGGTCTGGTTTCTGGACTGTGGTTGCCTTTCGTCTATGGGATGGGTTTGGGTTTGAGTCTGGTGAGGGAGATTGGTGGTGGCGTCATGTGTTGTTTTGGGTCCGGTGTTGGTTTTCGTGGCTGGGACTCATTTGTTGATAAGCCACATTATATATAAAACAATACACAAATAATAATAATTAAAACACTAAAAAC